CCAGGCTGGAGTTGCCACGGGTAGAGCCGCAACGTGGCATTCATAGGCGCAGGCCAGTCCCATGGCTCGCTGAAGATCCCCCGGGCCCTAGAGCTCGACGTCAGTGTGGATGGGGTCCGGCAGTCCGCCAGTGAAGACCTATACCCGCTGTGCCGGAGACAGCACCCCAGCGTGCGTCATCTAGGCCTATAATGCCTCTTGGTACTCCACCATGGTCCCACGAAACGATAGGTGTGCTAGGTCAGAGAGGTGGTTGGTGTCGAGCGTCGGCCCAAAGCATTGGTGACACAGGGCCTTGAAGAGGGGCCAAGATATGGCGCTAACGTCGCTGGCATCGCGCTCGAGCATGTAGTATCAGTGCTATGCCACCCCATTCATGTGGAATGAGGCGAGCCATACTTTGTCCCCTTCAGGTGTGCGCTGCACCCGGAAGAAGTGCTCGCACTTGTTCAGCCCGGCCAGGGGGTCGTCCTTGCTGTCGAACATTGGGAAGGATAGCTTCTAGAAGCGGGGAATGCCGAAGGCATCCGCATGGCCCTCATAGGGCGCTGGCGGCACCGGCGGCGCATTGAAGATGGGCAGAGGTGATGGGGAGTGTGGGAATGGGATCTCGGTAATAGGTACCGGGGAGGAGAGCGTCAGCTGGTGGGCGGCCGGCTCGGAGTGAACCACCACAGAGGCAGCGGATGGCGCAGCCAGAACGCCCTCGTATCCGGGCAGACCATAGGGGAGTGAGGACGGTGCGGGTGGCGGGCAACCGGAGCTCGGCGGACCATAGGACTGGACGAGCGGGGCGCGCCTTTCGACTGCGGACAGCCGGGTGGCGAACTACCCCATCTGGCGTTGGAGTCCATAGATGGCCGTGGTTAGGGTGTCCAAGGGCGACGAAGAGACGCCCGAGGTCGGAGGCATGGTGGTGATGGGTGGAGCGGTGGTGGTGGTCGGCGCGGTGGTGGATGAAGGAATGGCAGGGGGAATCGGAGGAATGGCGGCGGAGGAACTCCCAGACATCGGGCCTGACATCGATACCAAATTGATGGGATCGCTGCTACTCCCTCTGAGATAGTAGTCGTGGAATGTAGGCGGGCGAGGTTTGGGTTCACGGCGGCGTCGTGGGTGCGACGCCATCCTGGTGGCCGGCGTCGAACACAAGCGAGCGAGAGAACGAGGACACAAGGGAGCGGGAGAGATTAACTCAATCTCTAGCTGAATCTCACATTAACCAAGTGTTTAGGCTTTATAGCCAACTCTCCACAAATCACTAACTGACTAACAAATCCAAATTGACTAAGAAATCCAAATATAAGATCCTAGACTTGAGGAACCAAAGCCGCCCTGAGCGCGGTCACCATGCAGAGCTATGCGCGTCGTGCGCGTCGCCCTTTGGGCCTTCTCAGCCACGGCCTCGCTTGCGACGCTGGTAGACTCAGCCCACCATAACACCTGCTATAGATCAACAATCACCAGATTGCTTTGGTCAGTTGTTGGAATGGATGGATTTAATCTGTTGATTTCAGCTGCTCTGTATGCTGATTTATAGATTTATCGAGGTGACCGGCACACCTGTTGCAATGGGTATGTTTGATTGCTAATAATTATTGTAACCCAAAAATGATATTTTTTTTCATTTTAGTTTGAGGCCGGGAGGGCCACTCGAATAGTGATCTTGCGGGTTTAATGGGCGAAAAAGATAAATGAAGGAGTGCTATTTGATTGTTGGCGAACATAGCTGCATTAGAAGTGCGATGGTGCCCTAGGTGCTTGGGCACGGTGGTGACTGAGAGGAGGAAAGATGAGTGTCTTGAGATGAGTTTAGAGTAATTAACAATGAGTTTTACTCAAATGAAGTTGCCTGATATTTTGTTTTCTTATCAGTCAATTTTCACAGAACGTCACATGTATACTGCCGGAACATCACAAAATGCATCACATAACATTATAAAATACATTACAGAACATCACATGCATTTTAGCAGCCGCCTAAGAACATCACAGAATATTAAAATACATCAAAAAAACATAACTGAACACCACATGTGTATCACTTGAACATCATAAAAAACATTATAGAAGATCACATTTATACTACGTGAACATCACAACATTATAAAACATCATGTATTACGAAACATTACATGTATATCACGTGAACATCACAAAATACATCACAGAACATGACTGATGGTTAAGCAAACCATCAGTCACCTGCCATGGAGACAGACCCATTAACAATCTCCTATCCTAAAAAATAGTAATACAAGACATAGAGTTGCTGCATCGGATCCCTTGTTCATTCCTATATAATTTTTAAGAGATTTATTGATCACATAAACTTCTCGCCTAAATAAAGAAGATCACCCTTTCTCTAACTGATCCATAGACTCCCCAATTACATACGATTGTCCTCGGCACCAGCTCTGGTCTGATCCTTTGAGTGAGTTGATGAACAATACAAGCTACTCCCTCGATCCCACAAAAAAAAGATACAGCATTCAAAATTTGCTCTACAAAGAAAGTCACTATAGAACATTTGACACTATAATGGTATTGTTCTACATTGTTTATTACTGTGCACTAGTACCTTTGATTCATTTTGCTTGACCACTAACATGTCCTACAAATCCTATAGTGTGTCTTGCTTTTTTTTCGGACGGATGGAGTAGTTATTAGTTGATGCGTGCTAGTACCTGACAATTCAAGAACTTGTGGAATTTTTACAAAGATAATTATAGCTCAAAATGACATGAGATGAATTCTTCTATTTTCACCGGTTTATGCTCACCTATTAACAATACCTTTTTAGAAATTTGGACTTATGTCGTTCTTAGCGTTCTTTTTTCTTATCGGGTACAACTTTGGACGCACACAACCCAGACACTCCACACTCACACCACACGCACACACACGCGTGCGCGTCCATACACACACAAAGAAGAGATTGGGAGGTTCTCGCCTCCAGTGCGCAGGAAACACGCAGTACCACCGAACGCACACGCATGCGTGTACCCTAAAATTTATAGAAAAATTTCAGAAAAAGGTGCGACAACCAGGGTTCGAACCCTGGTGGGCAGCGTCCCACTGACAGTCCTACCAGTGGACCACAGGCCCATTCGCTATTCTCGGAGTTCTTGGATTTGAAGACTTGAAATGTTGTACTCCTAGAATTGTGTGTGGTATAGGATCATAAAAGTATGAATTACTATGGTGTTGAAGTGGAATTTAGAATGGATGTGTATGCAAAAGGGAATGGAAATGGAAGGAAATGAAGAAATACAGAGGAAGCTTTAGGTAGTCGGCTGCAGTAGTTCTCTGTACATGCTAAAATGGTTTTAATTAGGGGAATCTTCTAAACCAACATGAGACACTGTAGAAGACTGCTGGAGTTTCTCAGCAATGTGAATTTTTGAGAAAGTAACCCCCCTGTGTCCCAAATCACTTCTTGACTTCTTTATTGCTTGGAAAAAAAAGTAGTTCCGTATTAGTTGAACGTAATCCTACACGATTCCATAAATGAAATGAAATCCATGTAATTATCATGGACCATTTGATCGACCAGTTTAGCAGGCAGCAGCACCATCAAATCGCAAAAAAGCTATCTTGCCAGCCAAATAAAGCTACTGATCTCAACGCGGTAGGAAAGGAAAAGTAGCAACCTCAAAAAGCAAGACTGGCGACTCATCCTTGCACCATGATGACTCGGATGATTTCTACTACCATGTTCTCTCTTATTATTAAAACAGAACAAAACAAAAACAAAAACAAAAACAACGACCGGTCCTTTGTAGTAATTGTGATCTGCCGATCATCCGATCCATCCCATATATGCAAGTAGCAGCTTCCTGTCATCCAGAGATTTTTGCTTTTAACACTAGTGCTATCCCTTTTTCTCTTTCTTTTTTTAGGATGTAGAAATTAATTCGCTGTAGTCAGAACATGACACTTTCCAATCCGCTCCCATGTTGATCCTGCGCATGCATGACTCAGCTCGTTGGTATCCTTTTCTTTTTCACCCCCTTTTCTGAAGATATCAAAAGACCCTGATCCTTGCTCCACCTGTAAAAAAGAAGGGGGCCATGCATGCTCCAGCTAGCTGTAAAAAAGAAGGGACCATGTTCAAAGCTTTAGCTCGTGTTGTGGAGATATATACCTTTTGGATTTAATTAATTAACCTGTCATCTTCAGTACAAGGACAAGATCATCCAAAAAGAATTAGTAAACAGTTATCCATGGTGAGTGGCCTTGGAGTGCTCTCACGTGTGTCACCATCGTCGTCACTGCAAGCAGAAGAACCGATCTTCCAATGACATCGCATCAAAGCCGGGTCTGTGATGACACGTCCATGAGCCATGGCCGTCATCTGCAGCTAGTTGCCTCCGCACATGCGTGTGCATGGAACAGGACACCGTGCCTAACTGCCGAACGATCGGCATAACAGCATCAACCAACGCAAGATCACTTGGACCTGCACGAGATCTGGCAGCAGGATGGATAGGATTAGGAGCTCAGGCGACGCGCCGTGTCGAGAATTGCCATTGCCATGGCCAACCGCTCGCACAACCCTCTCACCCTACGTACCTAGCTCGGTCACTAAAGCAAGCCTACTACTACCAAATGCACATGCTAACATGCTTCCGCGCGCGGTTGGTGGTAAGTATATACGGACTACCGTTATATTCCTTTTCGACTGCACGACCCGCGGCTCTGAAAAAGATGCTCCCTGAAGTTGGATTTTGGTGATCTCCGTAGTGGATGCCTCGTCACCATGTACGTGAGTGCGTGCTGGTGGGTCTGTCCGTAGATGATGCCTCGTCACCATGGCACCATTCGAGCTTATAAAAACTCACCATTAGAGGTTTTGTTTTGCACAAGGTCTTCAGAATCAGAAGCTACAGCTGCAGCATAGGGATAGCTCCGAGCAAAGAGAGCAAGCTAGTATAGCGGTTGCGACGAGACAGCTTGTGACTTGTGACAACAACTAGTGTGTGAGCGATCGAGAGAGGATGGCGTCTCTGCTCGTCCAGTACACCGGCGGCAGCGGCCAGTCGGCTGCGGCGGTGAAGCAGCTGCTGTCGAGGTTGAGGTGCTCTTGGAGGAGACGCGCGGCCCGGCCGCGGCGAAGCGCTGTCAGTTTTGCCTATGACCTGCATAGCGCTACTCCCAGAACTTCGACGACGGCATGGCCTAGTCAGCCAGAATCAGAGGTTTTGTTTTGCACAAGGTCCTCAGAATCAGAAGCTACAGCTGCAGCATCAGTGTATGGTTCCTCACTGATGAGAGACTGAGTCCAGTGTTAATATGTTTCCGGTGATTAGCTATCTAGCTGGTTCATCCAGTTATTGTTGCAAGAACTTCATGCTTTTCACTGAAAACATTTTTTTTTGCGCAAACACTGAAAACAAAAGTTGCATAGTAAATCAATCAAACATCACAAAAGCCACAGGCCAAGTGTCAAGGAGTAATAATAGTGCAAAAGGTGAAGAAATTTAGATACCTCCTGGTGGTTTCTCTTAGCAGCATTAGGGTTTTTTCTGGTACATTGTTTCATATTCCACAATGACCGCGTGTCTTAATAAGCAAGGTGTGTCTTCCATCTTTGAATCAAGAAATATGCAAACAGTTGCAACAATCTGGAAAAAAACAGAGGGTTGGTAGGTAATCTTCAACTGTGTTAGCATACCAAGAGAATGGAGGAAATGGATAAAAAAATTGTACTGCTATAAATAGGGCACTCAAGTGCTTGTAAAATATTTTAGGGAAGATATATTTATGACCCAAAGAAGAATATATAGAGCCTAAATTCTATACAAATTACTACGAGTAAATTAGATACCCTTGCCGAGTGGTTACAGTATACCCTAGTATGCAAACAGTTGCAATAATCTGAAAAAAAACAGAGGTTTGGTAAGTAATCTTCAAGACTTCAACTGTTATAAGAGAATGGAGGAAATAGTTTAAAAATTGTATTGCTGTAAATAGGGCACTCAAGTGCGTGCAATATTTTAGGGGAGATATATTCATGACCCAATGAAGAATACATAGATAAAATTACTACGAATAAATTAGTTTCCCCTGCCGAATGGTTACAGTATACCCTGTAGAACCACTTTCCTGAGGCAAGTATGTTCATTAAAGCAAGCAAAAATAAGCTCATTTGACTCCACGTCTTTCTTCTCCACATTGGCAACAGTGCCCTTCATCAACAATAAAAACAGGATAATACCATAAGATTAGGAATATGCTGCAACAAGAATCTTAAGAGATAAATTACATTGTCAACTTTGTTTCCCAAAGACCAACCAAAGAAGTTCCAAAATGGACATCATTTATTATCCACGCTGACAAGAGAAATAGGAAACAAGAAAAAAACAAAACAAAACAAAAATAGCACGCTGACCACAAACTCAAAGCTATCGCTCCTCGTGCTCGCTAGGCAGCTTTGTTGATAAAAAGAGCCATCTTCAAATTTTGCAAGCTTCAATATGTGCACATCTGAAACACCCGAAGTAGCCTCTTCAGATGGACAGAGCGATCCTTCCTTGAAAATAAAGAGTCATCTTCAAATTTTGCAAGCTTAAAAATGTGCACATGTCAAGCCTAAATGCCTTCATCATGACAAATACTTCATTACCTTATCTGCTGCCCACATTTTGTCAGGGGTGTATGATCATTCAATCAGGATTACTGAGGTCAGCACAAACTACACATAATAGTATTGGCCAGGCATGACTGCTATTTATGCTACATAATTTTTTTTTAAAAAACTTGGATGAGTGCAACAAACAAAGATCTGGGATGTGAATACAACTCATAAAAAACCTGCTTGCTGCATCCTGGAGAAGCTGCACTCAATGCAAAATATAGAAGGCGTGGTCAGCACTATCGTGCCCAATTAGATGGGGCACAATAGGATAAGTTGTTCATATATTATAAATTTCTCCTTGACTTGCACTGATAAGAAGAAAACACTGAATCAACAATTCAAGTTTCATTCCAGATAATTGTATTTTGATAGATCCAAATCATGGATACTAAAGATACAAGTTTGAGCAGATCTGTGAGGAAAAAGTGTAAACTAATCAAGCAAGTTTAAGACAAAATTCTACACACAGATACTGCACATGGAATCTACCAATCAAGCACATATTATTGGGACAGGGCTAAGATCCTAACCCAGCTAGATGTGTCTATCATCAAACACGCAGCTCCCTGGGTCATCAAGCACGGATTCAAAAAGGATTACTTCGTTTGTGTAATTAGCTATGAACAGGATAGCGATTAATTCTATGCTATTGCCTGCCATATATAGATCAACAATCAGCACATTGCTTTGGTCAGCTGTTGGAATCGATGGCTTTGATTCATTAATTTCGATCTCTAGCTGCTCTGTGCCTGGGTTACAGACCACATCACCTCCTAGCAAGAGTGCAGTGGTCTGACAGGGCGGTGCCGCTCACCGGCACGCCCGCGCCCGGCCGCACACGCCGCTCACTCCGGCGGCCCGCGGCACCGCGCCGGGCGCCGGAGCTCGCCGGACCGCCCGCGCAGGTGTGGTGATCCGGCCTGTTCATAGTGAGATCTTCTCTCCCTTCCTTCCATCTTTCTCTTCCCCTCCCGTTTAGCAATTTTTAGAACTTAGTCAAAATTGAATATACAGGGCTCCAGGCTATGGCAATTTTGCGGTGCTTTCCGATCTATGGCAATTTTTTAGACTGCCATGCGTAGCTGACTGCAATGGTTGGGCGTCGGTTGACTCCGTTTGGTCTGATGCTTCTGTTATACTGAAATGAATGAGAATCGGTAACCTAAAATTGATATGTGGCATTTTTTTTTTAGTTTTATTAGTTTGAGGGATCGTGACACTCAAACAGTGATACTGTGGTTTCAATGGAACGAAATAAATGGAAGGTTGCAATGATTGTTGAGGAACTACCCTTCGCTAGAATAGTAAGCAAACTTAGATGTTCGAGGAAATTATATCTTGCTATTACCAAGTCTCTTTCTTCTCTTCTCTTCTCTACACCTAAAAAGACTCTAAAGTTATCATCTAGTCGGTGATACCAAATCTTGCCCTTACTCACGCATCCACGTCTGATAGAATCATAGTCCACTCGGAGCTCACACGTCAGTGTCACGTCCGTGTCCTGCGCGGTTACGAAGACCGAATCCACATGTCCACATCCGATACGAAGTCCTTGTAGCTCATGCGTCCGCGTCCGATTACGAGGTCCACTTTAAAAAAATTGTGATCCCAGTGCAACGCACGGGCTTATGTCTAGTAAGTTATTAATTCTTATCAGATGCCCTAGGGAAAAATAATTTCTACAATTTTTCAAAGAATCAGAAAAATCTTAGCTATTAGTTGGATTGCTAGACTCTAATCAATATTAATAGTTATAGTGGATTTACTCGTTTTCTAAAAAAATAATTGAAGGCCCTAACATAGTCTCTATTTTAATTCTCACAAGACACTCTAAAAGAGATAAATTCTAAAAAAAATAGAAAAGATCTAGCCATTAATTCGGTAGAACCTAATCACTATTATTAATAATAGGGCTTCATCTATTCTATTTTCTGAAAAACTTATCCGATCCTCATCTACTGTTATAAAGAAAAACATAAAGTAACTCTTTAGAACTACATCTAACTTAGGAAATAAAGTAATCCATAAATTTGCATCTAAATTAGCACCATGTCACTATGATAGATAATCTAATTAACCCTATAAATTTTAATCCAAATTACCATTTTTTGCCATAAAAATAAACTACACATATCCCATCAAATCAACATCTAAATTTACAATATATGCTATAATAAAAAGGTGTAAATAGGCATAAATCACACATAGAAAGAGATACACACACATGTTGTGTGATCATGAAGATCAAATATACATCCACGCATGAGCAACAATAAAAAAAAGTTCATCTATTGACTCATATATACACTAACATCCCATTAATAATTATACTAATATCCATGATGATAATTTATATAAGATGTTCCTTTACATAACTCTATGTAAGCCGTTATATTACAAAGATTTCTACATTTTGAAAGAAATATATGTCATATCATAATAGTATAATCATCATGGCCACTCTATTTTTTAAAGAAAAATACTAATATGCATTTTTTTTTTGATAGAGTGAATTCAATATCTTGAATAAAGGAGGAGGTTAGTGCATACCAAAGGTGGCCCATGCCCCCTCTAGTTTTCTTTGAGTAAATAGTGTTTAGATAAGTTGTTACTTTAGATAAAATTATGTAAGATGTCACTTTAGATAAATTTGTACATTTTGATCAAAATATACGACATATCTATAATGATTGTAAGATGTTTTTTTTGAGAATTACACGATACAATGTAGACGTCCACAACACGTACGCACACTCACTCCTATAAACACACGTACGTAAACCCTACCCCTATGAGCACCTCCGAAGGACTGAGCCGATAGATCTTTTTGAGAATTACACAATACAACGTGGACGCCCACAACACGCACGCACACTCACCCCTATGAACATACGTACGCAAACCCTACCCCTATGAGCACCTTCGAAGGACTGAGCCGGCAGATCTCGAGATTCACCATGGGCATCTCGCTGTCGACGGGGACGTCGCCTACCATTTAAAGCATAGCGTCGTTAAATCCTGGAATAAATCCAGAAAAATATAAGCACCCGTGTTATGTCGAGACTTGAACCTGGGTGGGCAGGTTCATCACAAGAAACCCAACCAACTAATCTATAATCAGTTCGCATAATGATAGTAAGATTGTAGGCATTCTATTTTTTTTAGAAAAACTACAACATGTAGAATTCATTGATAGAGTAAATTAACCATCGTAAACAAAAAAGGAGGTTAGTGCTTAAGTAAGGTAGCCATACCCTACCCGACTGTCAGGCTATAATTATTTTTGAGTAAATAATGTTTGTTAGGCTTACATATATATTGTTAGATGCTTATCTTACTTCAAACTTCAGCGACCTCATGTGGTATGGTGCAGGTTTAAATGACCGTTTATGTCATCATTGTAATTAAAGTGTAGGATACAACATTCTTATTTTGATAAAATACAAAATGAGAGTTTTGAATTAAATGTATAATAAAGATAAGAGTTTAAAAGTGACACATATGGATACAAAATCTGTAGCAACCCATATGATCAAAATTTTAAAAGTAGAAATCTAGATTCATGATGCCATGAGACATGGGCTGCAACAAGAGCCATCATAACTTAAGCTAAAGTCTAAGCTAAATACATTGTAAACATAT